GAATCAGCAAGACCATATCGAACGCGTTATTATGATTAATTATAGAAGAAAAATACTATCAAATACTCGGTGCCAAAAAGCGTTGACTTACAGTAGAACAATAAATGGCCGTCTCTCCAAGGTTATTTTCTTTCATCCCCCCCCCCAGAATAACTGGCAAGACGGTAATTTCTTTGCTTTTGGGGCGGTACACATCTACGCGCACATCGCACCGCAGCTTTTGCGACAGAAGAGGAGGGAATACGTATTATGTAACTAGAGCTAAACTTAAAACTTACTTATAGCTGACATGCCTGAAATTGAATGGGTGAAAAAAAAACGGTATAAGTGACATTTTATCAAATCTGATGAATCTGTTTATTTAAGTCAAATAACTGAAAAGTCGTGCTTTGTTTCTTCTTAAAACCACGAAAATATATTGCCACTGAAAAATAGGTTAAAATAAACACGTTTTCTCCCAATTTTTAAAATGTTGCTTACGAATATACCGTTCTGGTTTTCGCCTATTCAATTAATCTGCAGAAGTATACTATACTGAACGCGCTTCGGTCGTTTCTCTCGGTTTATCTCACATGCCGAATTTTTAAATAATCGTATTTAAATCTGAATATAACAATGTTATCCATGAATTCGGTCATTCTCTCTCCCAAGGACCAAAACAATACAACCATGCCCGTGGCGGTACTCGAACCCACGACACTACTGCCTTAGCGATCACGGCCATCCGGCTCGGCCCGTTCGCACTTGTCTACACAGATCAGCCAGGATTCCACGAATTCTGGTGGGAAGACGAACTCAAAATCAACACTACTATCTTTACAGTTTTTTCCACATTCAAGAATAAAAATAAAAGACAAAAAGTTGAAGTCGTTTCTAAGAAAATTGTTTAAAATGGTTTTAAAAGTGACTGTGTATCATCTAAAATTACGCAAAAAGAAAAAAAAAACACCTCATATTTCCGAATATTGAACATGACCACTTTTGATGGACTGTTTTAAGTGAACACGTTTCTGTAAGAAAAAAAAAGTTATCATCAAAATTATAATTGTAGGAAGACGCCGAAAAAATATTTTGAAATTTTGCAATATTCGAAAAATCAGGATTTTCAATTACCATGAGACTTGCGCCATTCTCTCAAACGTCCTTCACACTATCCAACCACAAAATTTCATCAAAAACGATGGAGCCATTTTTTGCATCTTGCAAATGCCCCAAAGGCGTTATGCAAAGTAGCACGCAAAATGAAAGTATCGACTTCAAATTGAAGGGGCCGTGACATCAACCAGATCCATTTGGTAATATTAATTGTGGATAAATTCAGATGAACGGTTTAGCCGTAGCGTTGTTCACAGACGGACGATCAGACAGACCTTTTCCGTCATTCGATTTTTCGGTATCAAAGACCCACAAAACATTTTCTGTTGAAAGGTTTTTCTGTCGAAAATTCGCCGTCTGTTCCCATGGCGTTGTATAACTTTCTCGTCTTAAGCAGTGCCTTCTTAAGGGTGAGAGAGTAAAAAGGGGCGTACAGTGAACACGCGTAAGCTGCAGTTCGAAATATCAGGAAGCATCATATGAAAACTCGTGTGCCGGATGTTTTCAATCTACCAACCGATATTTGATAAGTTTACAAACTTTATATCTGAAGGCTTTATTTCGTGTTTGTTTCCTTTTGAAATGCTGTTCTTGTTTTGAAATGCTATGTTAAAAAACAACCTTGAGATTGGAGTTGAGAAAATACTTGTTTTCTGACTTGAAAAGGGAACAATCAATGGCAAGACACGAAGTCCAAACTGCGGCGGCGTTGGCTCTTCATGGAATATCTGCTTTTGGACATCGCTCGGGGATTTCTGCCAGCGAAGTATGGTGCGGTGCGTAAGGAAAGGTATTATATATTTTAGGGAAGCACTGAGCAGGGCTATTACAATCATTCTGAACTCTTATAGCCAAAGCCTTAACCCTGGGGAAAGTGCGGAGATTACAATTGGCTGTGCATAGGAAATACGTAAACATCAAGGGAGGGACTGGTCCGAAAAAGTACTTGGATGTAAGTGTAAAGCATCCTAACGATAATCGCGTGTCACCTACACAATAAAACCTTGGTTTTCGTACAACTCGCACAAGCTGTGATTACTCATTGGTAACATCTGTAATAGCTTCATCCAAGAGGTTCGAGGCTTCGAGAAAAGCTGATGGTGGTTTTTTGACAGCTGCATGGCTGAGTCGAATTCAACCACCGTCTGGAAGCGGAATTTAGTGGTCGACTGCTCCGATAGGTAGTTTTCTGGCGTTTCACCGCGATCAATACCAGGTGATTGACGGAGCAGTACCTTAACAAACGGGCCACGGATTGCGCGCGAACTTTCTTTCCTCATGCTTGTCCCTTCTTCCCTTACCCTCACATTTTACTTTCTCCTTTACATACGCTCATACGACATTTTCTCGCAAATGACTCTAAGTTTTCGACGCAAATTTGCGTATGCGACCAGGTTTTACTCTCCTGTAATATACATAATATATTTTAGGCCTACCATTAGCGGACTGAAAATCGAGAAAATTTTAAAACGAATGCCCTTTTAGATGGCAATAGATGGTGGCTGGGAAAGAGGGGGGGGGCAAAACCAAAAAGCTAGCTCAGACTAAAGCTCTTAAAAAACTAACTAGGTCGACAAAGTCTGTGACATTCTATAGCCCCACTAGTTTACTTTGTTGTGAGCGTTGTTTGCTAACTCCGTTTTATTAACTATTAATTAGGGCAGTAAAATAATGAATTACAAGTATCAATTTATACTGACGTATCAGCTCTTACCTCGCAGACAATGAAGTATTTGGGTGAGATGTACAGCCACTGCCCTGCCGGGGTAGTTGTAACGGGACCTCCTTGTCTTATTAGCATCTAGTAGCAATAGCTTAGAGCACGGAATTCTTGGATAGGAAGCGCTCCTGGTGGTACGGATAGCTCAGGATTCTTCATTGCTAGTTGTCACTGCATTGCCTCGTACCGGGAGGTCCTAGGGTTTGACACCCGACGATGGCAAGATTTTCGATACTAGCCAGATAGCTAGATCGAATTCACTCGCTACCTGGAGGAGAATTCTAGCGGCTGGCTGTCCTGAGTTGTATTTTTCGTGGTTTATCTGATCAATACCGTTACAGGCCAATATCTGCGAGCGATATTTTCTTCCTCTTCCGTATCCTAAACTTACACCCACACCCACATATACTTCACTTCCACAGATGTCGGGAGCTGAGAGCTTATCCCGGCTGGGGTGCAGGTGCCATGCTGATAGGAGATATCTGATAGGGAAAATCCCTCTATGCCATCTTTAAGTCGGTTCCATACCTCACCATCAAGTGGGGGAAGATAACGGCCACCGCCTAGGATCGGGAATCGGTTCCAAATCCCGGTCCCTACAATGCCACACAGTGTATAAACCCGAGCGCCCACCATCCTGGCGCACTCCTGCCTTAAGAATATCATTTTCCCAATACTCCTCAATATATCTGGGACGTGTTGCTCGTGCCTACGTCAGATATTGGGAATATCTATCCGTGACCGTGTTCGCAACGGTCATTCGTGTAAGATGCGACTGTCCCAATACTCAATATACCCATTGAAGAATCTATTTGGTATTCAAAAACGGCGATTGCAATGATTTGGTCCTGTCTGTGGAAAGAGCCCCATCCGTCTACCGCGCCAACGACCGACCCAGTAGAAGATTTAGCAAGCGGCCCTGTAGAAAACTTGGCTCGAGAAGATCGAGGAAGATTTGAATTGCCGCCCACAAGACGTCCAGAAACCAGCGGCACCCATGGCAAGCGTCGTATTTTCAATTGAATTATAATTTTTTGATATAAAGCTCATGGGTAGAACTGCACTTTATTTGTGGCTTTCCTGGAAACTTGCAGAAGATCTCCCCCTGGATTAATAAAGAATTTCAAAGGTTGTAAGATTTCCCATCATTACTATTATCAGAAGTTGGTTTTTCCCTCGATGAAGGTAAATAATATTGTGTTTTCTCATTTCTTCAGCAACATTTGTTTTGAATTAAATTATTAATCAAAAAGAGTTGATCCCCTTAAAATTTGCATCCAATTAAAATTAATAACTCGGGTTTATCCCAAAATTTTGAATAGTATCTAATATATAATAATCAATGTTGTTTGTTTGTTCGTTCATATTTTATGCGCTGCCATATCGTTCATCCCATTGCACTAAAACTTCGTCAACTTATTTCTCGTACTTGTGGGAAGGATATAGGTATAATACAATTATTGGAACCCGGATAGATGGCGCAGCAGCCTAAGATGAGGCTTCATTTAAATGAAAATCCCAATACACTTGAACCTCATTGTTGCTGGGCGTCTCCTTATGACGTAGGTCGAGGCAGAGGACAGGAGGAGCGGGCGGCTCAAGAATGAGAGAGGGAGAGCGAGAGGGGAGGTTAGTTAATTCTTAAACAAGAAAATGTATATAACTTTCTAATTTCAAATATTTCTAAAATTATTTCTTCTGCAGCAGCAACATGCTTGGTACCAGCTAGTAAATACATAATTAATTGTTCAGATTTTATAGGTTTTAAAGAAAAGAACAGGACATTGACTTTTTAAAAGACCCAAAATATTACTGAACAGAATCCTCAATGAACCTTAATGAAAATAGGTGAGATTGTTGTTTGATATTCAAAAAATCCTGTTCTATGTAACCAACAACAAAGTAAATAATTGGAAGTAAAGAGGAAAGTAATGTGCGAGTTGGCGAATATTATGACATTCTCGTTTTGAAATGTCAAAACAATCAAATTGTCTCACTTTCTGTCTTGTGAGCAAAAAAACAAAATAAAAATACACAAGTATGTGCATTATTTAAAAATATATTTCTTCATTGTTTATGTTGATTCATTCAAACATTTTTTAGTTCATTTTTAAGTTTGAGTAAGAAAGAGAATTATGAATTCCAGGTTCTCAAATTTTAGGAATAGAAAGTGACAAAGACCATTATGGGACAGGTATATAATTTATTTTCCATTTTGAGTTTGGTTACACAAATTATTTAGTATCACAATGTTTCAAGATATTAAAAAAATAAGACTTTCTATGAACTGATGTTATAAATTTAACAAACAATGTATTTAGCGTGGTACAAACCCTTTGTCAAATTTTAATCCTTTCATTTTTGTGTTTTATTACTTACTTTATATTCTGTACCTTCACTGGGATCAGATTTGATTCTTTCAGATCCTGAACATAGCAAATACTTTATATTAGATTCTAAATAACAACTTCAGTTAATATCATTTAATTACAAGACAATAAATTTAAAACCCATTAAATTTTGAATGTTCTAATACTCCCTCACATATAAGTATACTTTAATAAAAATATAATCTATTAAGAGGCAACAGTTAAAGACATGAAAGTCCATGATTTTAATTACAAAATTCTTTAACCTATAAAAGTAATTTTACAAAAAGAACACAATTATACAACACTGAAATGCCCATGAAAAAATCACCCTTTATTCACATATGGCACAAATAAATAAAATATATTTATTATAATATTTATATTCAAATCTTCATAGTTTAATTACATATTTTTGCAATATATTAATATTTCCAAATAAAAAAAAAGTATGATGTTTTTTGGTGCAATGCAACAATAATTCATAATTCAAAGAAATACATTAAAATCAAATAAAACAACTTTAGCAATATACAACACAAAAAAGAATCTCGATATCTTAAGGTAAAACTGACCAACATCTCAGACCACATTATATTTTCTTGATGTAAACTATGCAACTCCCTTTTGAAAGCGTAAAGCCAAAGAATTGCTAGGAACTGGGCGTCGAAGGCGACGGGGACTTTCAACTGCAGAGCGTGATTTGTTGGGAACGGATGCCATACGTGTAGGGTCACAGATAAGAATATTTGAATGTGGGAATGCTTCAATTCCAGGAGGAATCTTCATAGTTGCACTAGCTTCCTTGCCGTACTGATGAGGGATAGATGGCAAGGTAATGAGCCGCCGCTGTGTTGGAAGGAGACGATGGGAGATACATTTACCCTGTTGGGAAATGCAGCATCCTGCACTATGTGATTCTTTCACTGCTTCTGGGAACAACCGCTGATTTAAGCGATATGCACGAAGACCTATTGGAAAAAAAATAAAATAAGAATAATAACATTAAATTTATATTAATAAAATAAATAAAACAAATAATTATCAGTAAGAAAGATATTGACTGAAAATGGTGCAACAGTGCATTACAAATAAGTTTCCAAAGCGAACTTCCAAGTCGTAAAGGAAAGCCAGTAAACTATTGGTAAATTTTTTGACATTTCTCAATGAACATTTATTCAAACACATTGATAATTTTTAAACAGAAAAGGTCTGGGAATTATGAGGCCTGAATGAATTTCATCCAGGAAGATAGAAAATAAGATGTAAAAATCTTCAAATTGTATAAATCCACAAAACAAAATTGACAAAAATGGCAGAATAAAGCCTATTTTTGGGCAAGTGAACATATTTTCATAAATCAAACAGAGCAAAAGTATGAATGGCAAAAGTAAATTAAATTTCTGTAGTATCTGAACATTGTTTCCTTTCTGTTTTTTAATTAGAGATTTAGACAAGATGCAAAACACATGAACATCACACTCTTTCAAGACAAACAAGTTTGAATAGATCCAAGAAACTATGTCATATCATCATATAGTATTGTTGTATCCTGCAAACAATTTATAAGGAAAGAAAATAAGCGAGCAAATCCTGTAAGTCTCCAAGGAAGGACTGAGTTCAATTCACAAACAAATTGCAAAACATTTTTTTTAGAAACAAAGCATTGTCCAATGGAACTACTTGCTCATAAATGACTGAAGAAATGATTGAGCTTCATGAGAATTTATAATGCTCCTTAGTAGCAGGAACAAAAAATAAAGTTTTTCTTAGATATTGTTTTCCTCATAAATTCCCAACAATTGGGGAAGATAAATATTAGTGAATGATCTTCACAAATTCAACTTGGAACCACCTGACACAAAACCCAAGCACCAGTGGTGTAAGGTGAGCAGTCTGACCACTACACCAAGGACCGCCCCTAATTTTCTTCTATATTAATATAACAACCAAGTTTGATACTCACATGGATCCAATGTAGGCTGCATTAGATCATCATCAAAGGAAGAAATTTTATTTTGATCTTCTTTAGAACCTGGATAAAATTCATTTGATGTTGTCCCATGAGGATGAGAATGGCAATCAAACCAATGCTTCTGTCGAAAATTACTTAATTCTTCCAACTGGTAAGTGCAAGGGTCAGCAGCATACTTCCTGTGATCATTCTCAGCAAGCGCTGCTATTATATCATAGCCTGTTGTTTGGATATTTTTGGAAATAGGCAATTTCAGTGGTTCAGGTTCAGTTTCACCTGCTTCTGAAGAACCCTGTTTTGTATCTGATGGTTTCCTTGGCTTCAAACTCGATACTGCTGGGGCAGAGACAGATGATTTCAAAGGAGCTGAGAACCTAGCATCATCATGGTCATTTCTTCCATCAGCAGATGTAAGAACTTCACAGCAACATAGCCCTCCTACCTGAAATGAATAAAGAATGTATTTCACCGATTGTAACAGATGTGTTAAGACTATGTAGTAGAGAGTTACTTCCTGAAGATTTTCATTAGTGGCTTCAAAAGTGGCAGATTTTCTCTGTTTGGTCATTTCTGTGATTGTCTTCACACAATTTCAGGCAAAAGCAGTGAATTCAACAATTGGGTACAAATTCTGTAATCTATCCTACTTCCTGAGGGTTGGGTGATAAGTTGTTCCCCTGACTCCCATGATCTCAAAAGATCATCAAAATTGTAAGTCAACCCAAGCATGAATGTTGCTATTGGAAAGAGACTTTTTCTGTGTTTATAGTAATCCCCCTGTAGTTTTATTGTTTATATTTCAATTCTTTTAACGAGGTGCATAATGTACATCAGCTGTTATAGTGTTATCACTGTGGAGATGTTTAAGCTCCTGATTGGATGACAATTTCAATGGGCTGTCAAGAGCTAATTTATGTCATGTACCACATTAAAAAAATCCAAGTATATGTTTCCATAGACATGTTGGTTTTATAAATCTGTCAAGTCGGTATAGTAATATTTGGTCTTATAAATACATTTAAATGAATTTAATGAATTTTAAAGAATACACAGAAGAATATCCGATCCCAAAATAAATATTAATTACAATTTAAGGGACAATCATCATTTTAAAATTATCAACAAAGTAAGAAAATAGTTGTTAAGTAACAATCTGATTTAAATATTTCAATGGGTACGTGCTAGATTGATGCTTTTATTCCTTAAAACCCTGTTCTTTCTGCCCCTGTGCTTTCTTAATCTTTTTACACACTCAGGATAGATTTTGTTGATAAATTCAATTAAAAACAATATTTGAATATCTTTTCAAAGTTCACAAAATCAGCAGTTTGCTAGTGAAGAGTGGAAATCATTAAGTTTAATTAGAAATACACGAATCATATTATTTTAAAGAACATCAATGTAGTGGAAAGATATTACAATAAAAATACTTTAAAATATTATTATGTTGGCAAGAATATTCAGATTTATTTTGTGTCTCAAATCTTTCAGTTATGATTTGTTCACTGAATCTTGCAGCTTATACAATATAATTATTGGATGTGCCAGTTTAAAAAATGTCCATGCATTCTCAAAACTGTTCGGATCATGTTAGGATGTCCTTGGATCAAAGGGGCCACGACTCTACAAGGTAGATTAACAGTTCTTCAAATTTCTAATTAACACTTTGAAAAATTACTTCTTTTACTTATTTCTATGTTTTCCTAGCTGATCATATTTTATATGTGAACCTATTTTCATCATGATACAACATAAAGTTTTGATCTTGCTCTCTTGTGATTTCTGCCCTGCTTTCTCAATAATTTTACTTTTAAAGTACATTAAAATTTCACACGTTTTTATTCCCTCACTTTTTCAGGATTTATGACAATTTGGAGGTGTTACTTCGACTCTTCTTTCCAAGTGATGGTCTCCCCAAGTATTAGAAATTTGTTTTACACAGCTGAAAAAATGTTGTATTTATGTCCATAACCAAACTATTAGGAAGAGATGTTGACATATTACACGTCATTTTGCTTCAGTAATCCATAATTTGGCCACAACATAGGTATGTAAGTTTACCTGCTTTTTGCATTGACATTTTCCATGCCGAATGTCAGATGAAATTCTTTGATCAGAAGTTAACTTTTTGGGAATATTTTTGTGTGATTTACTTCCTTCTACCTTGAGACATTTTCGGATATGAGTCTTATGAATTTTCTTTTTGACAGAATGGTGATGATGACCTGCTTGAGTTGATGAATCTATTAAATGCTTTGATGTCTGGAACTCAGCATCTTTGTAATTGGATTGTTTATTCACACAGCAACAATGTTTTTTGTTTCCAAAGTCACCTCTCGCTAAGTGAAAATTGCAATGTTGATCTTGGATATCATTCTCATTACCAATCTGATTCTCATTCACAGCACCACAGTCACAGTCATCAGCTTTTGGAGAAGAGGTGTGGTCATTCTCTGAGTCACATGAAGAGGACTTGTTATTATCACATGCACATATTTGATTAATTTTTACATTATCTTTACTTAAAGGATGATTTACAGATTTTTGAAGTCTCTCCTTCATCCGTCGGAGAAACAGAGATTCTGGTGAATAATTCAGCAAACGCCTTGCCTCATCCATACATTTTAGACATACATCTGGAACTTCTGTTTCGTCATTTCCTGAAGGTTTGAGAAATTTAACTTTACTGTCACTTTTTTGAATATCAAAAGGTTCTTTCAAATAGGGAGTATTTTTACCCTGTTCAGTTCTCATTTTTGTACATTTTCCTTCATTTTGTTTAGGTTTTAATGGTTCGGTTTTGCAATGCTGATGTACTTTACTGCAATAACAAGTATTATGTATAGCATTTAACTTGAGGGCATTTTTATCTTCAACTGTCGATCTTCCTTTGGCTTGCCTCCCAAGTGATTTCTTAATTTCTGAACTACCAGTGTTTTTAATTCGTTTAGCAGGTGCCTTTTTAGGGTCACATCGCAAAATTTTCTCTGTCAGGTTTTCATTATTGCTTGGAGAAGAATCTCGTTTACAACGGGAGACAGCTGGGCCAGTTTTCACTCGAGAATCGGAACTGCTTGCTACCCCTGACGATTCATATCTTCGTTTCAGTGGTGAAGAAGGCACATTTTTCTGATCATCGGATTTTTTAGGGGATCTAGAAAGTAAAGAAAACAAACAAACTTAAAGTACTTATGTTAATCTAGAATTGTATCACAATATGATTTTGATAAGTGCCACCTTACAAAAGGTACATTCTCTAAATAACCTTATACACTAACCTTGTTGCGTGTCTTAACATTTTTATTTTGTTTTCTAAAAGAGCTGAGTTTGACTCGAGTAAATCCAAAAGCTCTTTATTTTTCTTTCTCAATTTGTGTATGTTCTGGCCTATTTCACACGGCATTGTGTTAAACCAAAAATCACAAGTTTTCGCATTTTACTTCTCGTCACTTTTTCATATGGAGCTTCTCCATATTCAACTTAACAAACGTTATCCTGTAGCCAACAATGAAGAATGAAAAGGTACACACAACATGTAAATATCACATAAAAGGAGCAGAATTTTGCTCATCTTATAAAGAACATACAATTTTAAAACTATTATTCCAAACTTAAGCAATATAGTATTTTAGAAGTCAACAGATCTATGGCAACAAGAAATCTGCTTTAACGATTTTGTGAACCCGTTTGTTGGATAACCTGCATTGGCGTGCAGCCGCTCCGGGAACAGAAGAACGCGTCTACCCGTTCGATTGATGTTCGATGTTTGGTGCTCGTGAAACGAAATCATCGTTTGTCGAAGTAATTGAGTGAATTGTGACACGCAAGATATGAAACATATTTTGAAGTTTCTGCAATCAAGTTTTCAAGGTATTGTGTTTGAAAAGCTGGGTTAGGGATGGATTCGTTGCTTTGCGTATCATGACCATGGTGTTATGTAATAAATGGATTGAATCTTCGCAGTAGAGATGCGTGATATTCTGTCGAAGCTTGAATTAATATGCATTATTAAACGTTTATTTTATATGTTTCAGGTTTGTGATTTCGTTACGTGTTAATTATCGGAAAAATGAATTTCACTCATTTCAATGGACACTTCCCAGCAGTTCATCAGTTTTCTGCCGCCAAATTTAGTAATCCCCAAATACAACCAGGTACTATGATAGTGACAAGTGCTTCTGATGGAACTATTCAGTATATTCGCCCGGAACATAACGGCGCCAATTTCATTACTTCTAGTGCTAGTAACAGTCCTGTGCAATCTATACCTGTTACTGTAAACATTCCTGTTCCTTCAGACCATCGTTCTGGAAGTATCGAACAAGATGTTGCCACATCCCAGTCAACATCTCAACATCAATTGGCAGCTGTTGTTAATGCACCTGTTAACAAGTATCCACATGCTCCTGGCACTTTACTGGGATGGGGAGAGATCCCTATGATGCATCACTTTGATGCCAGCAAGAATCTGACTGCTCTTAATGTTCCCTATCCTCATCAAGGAGTCAACAACAGTGCCTTTCTCACCATGCAGCCTCCTCCCACATCTAGTGCTAACCCAGGAATGTGGCCTGTTAAGTTAATGCAAAGTGTAGCTACTATGACCAATGAAGAGAGTGATACACAGCCCCAGGATTTGTGTAAAGTAGAAGAAGATAAGACTAAAAATTCAAATGGTGATGTTAAATCCTCCCCTGTTTTAAAATCTGAACAAATTCAAAAGGAGTCTTGTGACAGTGAAGATGATAGTGAAGATTCAAGTAAATCTGGAGTAAATATTACTTCTAATGCCACTAATGAAGAGAATAGAAGTGAATCATTATCTGTGTCAGTGCCTGTGAACCCTATGCCTAATGGATCTCTTGAATGTAGTCAAATTCAGTTGCAACAGCAAGGTAGTGCTATGGCTGATTATCTTGCTCGTCTTCCATCAACCATTCCGTTTAGTTTACAACAGTTTCTGAAATATCAAACAGAAACTGCTCCCAGTATAAAGCGTGAAGGAGAAGCAAGCAGTCTAGCTGGTATGTTTTTAGGCAATACGGCCATCACCCCAATAGTTAACAATCAAGCTGGGGCAAGTAGTCCCAAAAAGAAGAAGAAGAAGAAATCGCAAAAGCGACCTCCACGGCCCAAACCTGGCGAAATTCGTGTGTCAACAGCGTTAGATGGCTCTACCTTATTCTGTTGTCCGGAGTGCCACATGGCATACCCTGACAGAGATCTGCTGCAGCAGCACATGAGTGGTCACAAAATGGAAAGGCGTTTTGTGTGCAACATCTGTGGTGCTGGGCTGAAACGAAAAGAGCACTTGGATCAGCATAAAAAAGGACATTCAGATGAGCGACCATTTGTTTGTTCTGTTTGCATGAAGGGGTTCAAACGCAATGAACACTTGACACGACACTTTGTCATTCACTCTGGGGAGAAGACGCATGCTTGTTGGGAGTGTGGCAAAAAGTTCTCAAGGAAAGATCACCTCCATAAGCACACGCAAACTCATATTGCTAAGCGGGTGAAGGCTGAGATGTCTCAAGACAGCTTGCCTGGAGGTGTTCCAGTCTCTCTTGGGGGGAGTGTGGTGAGCCCTCCAGTAAGCACAGGCAGCAGCACTCCAGGAGCATCCACTCCACAATCTGTTCTCACAACCTTGTCCCCTCAGATTCCAATGCAGCACTCGATCCTGCCTAATATTCCTCATCCTCTTCAGCTACACCACTCTATGTCCTGAGCCGGGACAACCCCTTCAGTTCCTGCTGGCAATTCAGAGAATCTCATATCTTCTTTATGGATGGTAAAGAGGCGAACTGTGTTGTTTTTTTTCATATGCTACTCTTATATTAGTTCTGTTTATGAAATGTTACCAAGGTCATGTAGTAAGAAATATATTGTAACTATATCTTACTTAGTATAATTAAGATTTGTTTACTCAGTGATGTAGTTCAGTGGATGAACATATCTATTTTGTTTATGTGCAAGCCAAAACCAAAAATTGTGCCCTGTCATTTCTGACCTTACTTCTTAAAAGTCTTGAGATTATTCAAATAATTTTCTATTTCTTTGTATAGAATGTGTACCACATCGGGTATTTTGTTAGTACATATTCTGATTTCTTTGTTTGGCCTCTGGATTTCAAGGGTTCAGAAGTTTTCGTGCATTGCATTTTGATGTGCCAGTGAGAGGATAAGTTGTTGCCATCTGATGCCCAGAGGCATTACAGTGATGTTGTGTCACGTGCTTCCTTGATAGTGATGTTTTTGTCTTTTTAAGAAATTTTATTATTCTCCTACAATGCGTTGTCTCCAGTATGTTGCTCATGACTACATATGTTGATTATTATCAACAGAAAGTGACATATTATCTTCCCATGGTATGGCTACCTGAAAGATTCTGTAGGTTTTGTGCTATAGAATTGCTTGAGATAAATGCTAGTTTTTTAGTTCCTTGTAGATTGTGGTTACTGATAGTGTCAAGCAGGTATGAGTTTTAGCTGCTAGTTGGTGATAAATTTTGTGCATATTAAAATGTACATAAATGTTTGCATTTGCAATTGTAGAAACAATTCTATTGATATACACCCCTGACATACATATTATTCTTAGATTTATTTGTTTTAGAAGGACAACCAAAGATTTTTCCTTTCCATGGTTTGACACAATGTCTTATACATTGAAAATGTAATTTAGCTTATGTAGCTGTCTATGTTTACTATCTCAGGACAAACATCAAAGAAATTATAATAAGTTGTATCAAATGTGAGCTGGTCATGAATGTTGTTATATATGTGTATTCTTTTGTTTGTTTAATATCTTGGACAGTAGTATTGCATAATTATTTTGTTTATGTGAAAATCTTCATGGGATTCATCTATCCATGACATTGATTTCTGATTGTATGTATTTAAAAACCATAAAAAGTTTGGGATTTGATTTCATGATATAATTCATATACATAGTGATTGTTTTCTTTTGTTTATATAAGTGCCAGTTGTTTATGATCATATCAAATTATTTGCAATTATTTTATAGATAAAAAGATAGAGGTGTTTTAGTGGTTGAAAGTCTCATTAGATTTATCATTTATTTAACGTATAATTACGTTCCTGAAGTATTTTAGACTTTTTGCAAGAGAAAGGAGATGCAATTGTACCCTCAGTTTAAAAGAATCAACTTATGATATTACGATTTGTTATGGTGTGCAGAACATTTTTTATCTTTGACTACAACAAATTATTGCACTGTACATATTAGCAGTTGGAATAGTATGATTAAAATGTATCCAAAATATGTAATCAGTGAAATAATGTATTTTTGCCTAAAGATACATATTAACATAGAATCAAATGCCACAATTTTGCAAAAAATTATTTCTGCATTATTAGTTATTAGCTATCTTCCGAATGACAGCTGATGGAAATTTATCCATCTTTAATGGTAGATTTTCATCTAGAGCATCTCTATTTAATACACATATTTGTAGATGGGTACAGTAATGGGAAATTCTTCCAGTGAGAAAGTTGATATAAATTTCAGTAAGAAAGTTGCTTATAGACAGTTAGTTTATACACTTGGAGGTGAATGATATGTGTAACCAATGTTTACTGACCTAAGACATTTCTACATACAATATTTTGTCTTGTTTAGTTACACTGCAAAATTTCCCTTGTGGGTACCACACTCAGGCATTTTATTATATGTACTATTGTTGATTTTTGTGTATTATGCTCCCAGTCAATTGTACGTACAAAATAGCTTGTATAAAACTTAAAAGTTAATTACTCTTTTTTTCTTTACATTTTTGTAGTATTTCTACCTGTATATTTTTGAACTTGTATATTTTCTGGTATACATTTCATGACTTTTTTTGTAGTGAATTTGTTTGTAGAGATAGTTTGTTTCATTAAAAATCGTAATGCAATGCAAGTATATAACTGAAACTTTTCCAATTTCATTATTACAAAGATTTAATTGCCAGTACAATAGCATTTTTTCTGAATCTCCATGCTGAAGCAATCAAGGTTGAGATATCATTGGGTGGAGTCCAAATGTGCCTTTTGACATTCTGAAACGGATAATAGTGGAGTGACCATACCTTTATTGAAAGGAAATCTTCCCATTGATAAGGTAGTATATGGAAAAGAAAATGAGTATAAAATAAGTGTTATAAAAGGAAAATTAACTATATTTTTGTATATTTTGGGGTATGGAAGGGTTTTTATAAAATCATACATACATTCGCAAGTTCTGTTTGTGATCACATGTTAGTGATAAGTAGTGCTCAGTGTTATGCATAAGAAAATATTTTATTTTCTCAGAGATCTGTGGTAATTGATTGTGATATGCTGTCAAAACATCTCAGAATTCAAGAGTTTGTGGTAAGAGCCCTCAATTAATAAATAAATAAATAATTAAAAAATGTCTGAAAGTCTTTCTGAATGCTACTTATACTACTAATATGTCAGGCTGAGTAGATCAACTGGTGAGCTGATGTATTGTATTGTGATAAAAAGCATAGTATTATCTAATGTTTGAATAAGAATAGAGAAATAGAAGATAGAGGATAGAATAATAGAAGGAAATACCCAAAAATATATGAAAATATTTATAGAGAAAATATTTAAAGCTATATGAGCATCGAGTATTTATATATAGATGTTTTTTTCTGTAGCAGATTATAATAGATTATAAAGATTTGCTGAAGGTTAATATATGAATTGCTTCCAGATAACTCATGAAAAACAATCCATTATGTGATGAAACTTTTATTTTTAATATCATAGAAATCAAAGATTCTTAAGAAAGTCATGCTGATATTTTATATGTCGCTACACTGATTTGGCCAAGGTTGTAAAATCAACTTGAATAAATGTTTAAACTGCTTGTGGCGGATATAGAGTATTTATTGTGATCCTTTTTCATTTCCTAACTCTTGTGTCCTTTCTTCCTGATGTATTTTTGGATTCAAATGGTTGATACAGCTCTGAAAATTTGAATTGGCACTCAAGGATTATTAACTGAATTCTTGAATAGAAGTAAAGGGAAATTACATTGCAAGTTATGCAGCTATCATGCAACCATTGCAAGTTATGCATATCATGCAACCATTATTCTCTACTATTAGTTAACTGATTAGTGAATAAATAGACTTTATGGAGTTCAATCTTTTTCATTTTTAAAGAGTATTTCTCTGTTATACCAGAGTTTGCAGATTTGCAGATGTGAATTTTTAAAGAATAAAATATCCTTTATTCAGCTTCCTTAAGGAAGGAAGTAAAGCATATTCCCATGATCCAGATTTGAGTGAAAGAATGTTGAGCCTGAAGTTGCATTTTGAGGCAAATTCTGTATTATAGTTCCAAATACCAGTAATTGCACCAAATGCTATAGTCTAAATAGTATTTGATTGCACTACACACACATTCACATTACCTTATTTGAAGTTTTCTATTATGAATCTATTCATATCCTTTGTGAAATGTGCTTTTGCAAGGGACGAGATAAGTACTGCATTAACTTAGTGAGCCCTTGAAACAGTATTTTATTATTTTTATAGTTGATAATTCAAAAGGTATAATTCTTCTGATTAAACAGGCCTTCTGGGGGTTTCAAAATTATGAACAAAGAAAAGATTGTTACCAAGTTGTAAGATTATGTATAACATTTTTAACTGATCTATGACTATAATTGTAATTGAACATTACAGTTATGTAGGTATTTATAATTGGAAATTTTCTTTAATATACATCATGTATCCATAGGCAACATTTATAAATATACAATAAAATCTAGTATTGGCAGGTTCTTAATGATCACAATCACCTTTTAGTAAAAGGAATAAATTCTAACTCAAACGTACTTAGGTGCACCCAGGATTTTTCTCACGGGAAGGTGGGAAGGATCTACATTCATTTATTTAATGACTTGTTAGTATAGAAAATTAGTATATTTTTAAATATGTACAATTTGCCTCGAGTTGGGCTGATCTTCCACGAGCCTCACTCCCCCACATGAGTGCACTACTGTAAGTGTAAATTAGAAGAATTTTTATTTACATCCGCACCGTGCTCTCTATACTGCTTGCTCTTGCTTGCGTGCCTTCTCCATCAGGTTGAATCCTCCCTTCTCCACCCCACTTGCTTTCACTTGTCACCCCCATCCTGTGCCACTCAGTAATCACTGCTGTTCTGCAATATTTGGGAGCATTTCGAATTGCATTAAATCAAATTTTCTATAAAAAAACAAACAAAACAAAACATTTTTGACCAAATTTTTAGATGGAAGTATTATGTTGAACTGTTTGAAATTAAGACATCAGTACAGTAAATTTCATGAAAATTGGAACATTTTTACAAATCATATAGAAATTCAATTCTTTTAAAGTACAATATTTAGAATGCCCATTGAGCATTTATTATTTATATACTGTGTTATACATTCTACTCCACATTCTGCATTTCCAAAAGTTGAAAATTTCATGAAAAGTCGAACTATAATGATTGTATAAAATTATTGTAATTAATAAAATTTCCATTTATTAAAATTGAATAGTATTTAGAAACCCTTGTTATGTTCATAAAGTTCTTGGCTGCAATGTATGATACAAGCATTAATATCATGTCTAAAAAAGAGACCATCTGCTAAATTCATTTATGAAGTTCCACCTATATCACCCAGATACTAATCCTGTTGTGCCACTATAATGCAGATTCATTCCACAAGTGCATTTACCTTGTTTTGTTAAGAAATATAACTGAAAGAAATGTGAAATCTTCAATCAAAACACTGTGGTACAATAAATTAAATATTTTTATTGATTAAATCATATACATCTTTATAGTTAACAAATAATAACTGGTCATATTAACAAGGAGGGAATGACAGACATTGTACAGCACAGCCAGACATGAAGAGGGATTTCAATATAGGGAAATTTAATGTCAACTCTATTACTTTTTATTTTACTAGAGAGATTAGTTTACATCACAGGCTGTCATTGTTCTTTTTCTTGCAGTGTTTACTGCATTTGATAAAATTATCGTGATTACTTCCTAACTCATCATGAGACAAGAGAGCACTAGGAAGACCAAAGCATGTAAGGGCAATTAACACATTCCACAAACAAGTTAGTCCCTGAACACACAATAATGGAGCAGTATATAACTGCCATGAACTACAAATACTATATATTTGGCCATTATTTTTAAGTATAGTCTAGGATATATTGATAAAGAGAGAAAATAAAGATCTAGTTCTACATTCACTTTAGGACTTATTTATATTACCACAGCACTATGAAAATAACACAGCAATATTTAAATTATAACATCTTTGTTAGACAAATTGATGAAATTCTTATTTTAGAAAGTTGTATATGTATAGTCAAGTACACCATGCATTCATACATTAAGACAGCCTAAAGAAAATAGGGAAGCTATTCACAAGAACACTCTTTTCCTCCAAATCATTTATATTTTATACATTTCCATGCAATTTTCATTAATATCCCTTGAGTTTTGATATGAAGTTGCGTTCAGCAATTCTCACTGGGTAGAAACTAGTATGGAAGGAAAATAAGATTTATTATAACCATCAGTCTTCATTATGGATATCAACTCAATCACATTTAAATGCTTTCAAATGGGCAATATTTTAATCCCTCTGTCAATTGTGTTTTTTTATTTAATACTCATACAAACAAGTAGACTTCTTGAGAAATTATTGGTCATTATTTCATGTTTTAATAAGAGGTTTTTAATAATGACTTTAATAAAAATGATTTTAACAGAAAGTACTTCATGATAATCAACTTATCTTTATGAACAATAATGCAACTTTGTAAGCAACATTCATACTATCATAAATTTGCATGATAGAGTTGCCATTTTCTAAATCATAAGAAAATTATTTTGTATCTGGATTCATAATTTTATTTTTTGATAAAATTAGACCAGAAGTATGTAATAGTATTAAATGACTTATTCACTAATAACAAAATAAGAGGTTTGCATTGCAACAAAAACCTCTTTTATTGAAATAGCTCTCTTGACACGAACATAAAATATTTTAATTACAGTTACATTTAGTTGAAAACAGGTTCGTGGAGCCTTAAACAAGAGGGTGATGAATACATTTTTGGGCTTCCTTTCCATAAAACTTTTTTATTTACTTATACCATAGAAAAAGAAATACAATAGAAAAAAACTTTAAATAAATGAAACATACTTCAAGCTTAATGAAATTGTAGTTATAATGATACAATTAATAAATGCAATTGAAATAATGATGAACCTTGTACAAGGTTTCCAGATGGTTTGGAGGACCTTTTCATTAAATGTCATATAACTAATCCCCAAATTGTCAGGTTAAACAGGGGAAAATCATGGACTGAACATATTAACAGAAATAAAATGTATTATGTAGGGCAATGGGGCCTCTTACAAAATTTTCAGGGGGACCACCGCCTCTCGATGCCGTCCACCCAAATGTTTGCAAGTCTATAATTGAGAATTAAATAATTTCTTGAACATTAAATAAGACATTTGATTATGAATGAGGGAGCATGCCCTAACATAAAATTATTGTCTTATACAAAATAATAAAATGAAATGTTTATATAAGATTTTGGTTTCCAACATTAGAGATCAAATGAGAGAAAACAAAGTCTACTCATTTTATACAACAGTCTGCATTAAAAACAAAACATAATTATTTCCTTTTCACTTGCATCTTGGTTATTACCTACATAAAACATCAAACAAATATTTTTGAAAACACTTGGACTCTCATCAAAAAAATTTGAAATTTGTTACCTCAATGTTGCAGCATTGCAAGTAAACTGGACAGAAATATCATTACCTATTTCAGTTGTAAAGTAGTTTCTTGAATCACAGACAATTCATTCTTTTCCCATCACTCTTTATCTGTCCTTCCAGACATTTGTACCATTAAATATAAGTATTTATAAATCTGTATTTACACATGTATAACAATATATTTTAAGAACATTCAAAATATATACATATTTTAATGAAATATTCATTGTCTTTTAATCTATTTATACAATATAACAAGTTCATAACATTGCCCACTGTTTCAAACCACTATGATCTTGCAGATGATTTTAACAATTTCATCTTGTATATATCATTTTAATGATATAAAAATTTGATTGATTATAAATTGAATATAATACTTAATGATTACTTTCTATGTGTGACAAATAAAAGGGAGAAATAATGCAAAACTTAGGTCAAATCATCCAACATTTACTTTCATTAATTCAAAAGATATTAGTCATTTAGTGTCGATCTGACTTCAAAATGTAATTCTGCCAATAGAGATGAAAACTGGCTCTAGTCACCTACATTCTTTAAAAACATGGACATTACGAAATAATATTTCCAAAACTTAATATGTAATAAAATGCGTCTCTACATGTACATCCTACTGTTGGCTCTTTTCACGATGCAACATTATAAAATTTTATTTTTCTTAACCATAGTCACAATGATATAAAATAATTTGTAGCAAAATGATTCTGAAATAAATATCTGTTTATGAAAAAAGTGTTAGTTAAAAAATGTGTTTGTGAAAGCACTTAAAAAAATCATAACCAACTCAACGCAATATTATTCATTAGAAAAAAAAGTAATGCTTCCTGAATAATAATAGATTCTTCCTTATTCATAGTCATTAAATTGTGTACTCAGAGTTTTGGTTGCAATGCTTGAAGGAAATTATTATATTTTATGTAATTATTTTTTTACCTGTCATGAATTCATCTAATTTTACAGTGTTATTTCATACATTCTATTACAGAATAAAAATGTTCTGCCCTGTAATTTTGACAGACAATGCACTAATAAATGCATTTGGGAACAGAACAACTGCTTGAAACTATGAGACAGGCAAAACAATTACATCTTGAATGTAAACAAATTCAAAAAGCTGTGAATACTAATTTCTGATGCTTCATGAATTAAGATTTTGCAGAGTTTGGGAGTGAGGATAATCTGTTTATTTAATTGGGATCTTGCAATGTCTCTTATCCTCAGACATTGAACCCACCAGTTTCCTTTAAGAAAAATAAGCTTGAAATAAAGGGTAATTAAGGAAGTTTTTGATGTGATTTAATTTTTCCATAAATAGCATTTCATGGAAGGAAGATTGTCATCAACAATAACAACATTCTGTGGATCATACCACTGAATCATAAGAATTTTTCACTGCTTTTCCAAGATAGCTGAATGAAACAGTACAACAACAATATGAAACTTTGGTATTAGAACTCGGAAGATGATTTTCCACATTCTTTTTTAATCAAACATGGAACATAGACTTGGTATTTTATCTCACCTCTTCACTTATTTTCTATTACCATTTGTAACTGAAGAACTAAATCTCTGGCTAGTGACAGCACTGCTTTCGCATCATGTCGTTCTGCCATCTCTGTGGAGTATAAAAAAAAAATAATAAAAAAAAAACACATTAGTTTGGGAAAGCACCTTCAGTGAAAATAGTCAATCATCTTAATTGAAAATTACCATTGAAAAATTTTATAATATCTGTGAAGTCCATACTGTTACTAAGAATAATGTCCCTGTAGCATTCCACCAGTGCCAATGCAATAAAGAGTACAAAGTGACTTGAAGCAACATGTTTGGCAGCCCAGATTGTTTCCCAGACACTGAAAACATCATCGTACAGTAGTTCTGAAACAAATATATTTATTTAGTTTTTTCACATTTAAACAATGAAAATATGTATATAACAGTTTTAATTTATATTACCTATTATCATCTGTGATTAAGTAAATTTGTCATTATTACTATGTGATTAAGTAAATTTGTGATGTAGATCATAAATAACATAATACAGATGAACTTTATTTGTGAATAATAATTTTCATCCAGTTATTTTCTCTATATACTGATTTAATAATAAAAATCATCCAGAATGATGACATTTTTTCCTTATCTTGTATATTTACAGAAATACAGAACTATTTGTCTTACCTCTTTTAAAATCAAGTAAGAACCATCTGTAGCAGAAATAGAAGTGTGTATAATCTCCATTTTGATGCATTAGTTCATACATTTCAGCATCCAGGATTTGAATTAATGACCTGTTTACATGTTGAATTGATAATTTAATCAATATACATTGCTATTAAAACAAAAAGACTTAAGAAATATTTGAAAAATGGAAACAAAACACAAGTATTGGGCATAGGAAATATGACTGTAGGTACTATATATTAATGCAGTGCAAGCATTCTCATTCTCAGGAGATTCTCAGGAACAATACCTCATATTGGCAAAATGTGCATCCATTGCTCCACCATTTGGAAAATTTGCCCCCATTCGTTCCATGAGACGACAGAAACATGAGTATGTTAGTCCTTCATCATCAAAAATTACTAGCAATGGGGCCACTAAATCACACATGCCTTGCATATAACCAATGTCTAAATGCTCCCACACATACCTAAATGAAGAATCATACATTTGTTGCATCAATGATGACATTATATAAATATAATTTTAAATGAAGTAAGATCAATATAATGAGACATACGTGCACATAACATTGCGTAATTTATCAAGGTTTTCAGGTGGTGTGAAGTACCAATAATTGCGATCACAACGTTGTACATCTTTATCTATGCGATGAAGATTTAAGCCAAAGGTATCCAATAATTCATTCTGAAAATTATTGAAAGAATACATCAAAAGATTCAGAAGAAAATTATGCATTAACAATTTGTTACACAATATTCATCTATCAAATTACTAAAGTTATAAGGGATAAATTAGTGAAAACATGATGTGTATAACTGGACTTGCTATGACCTTCTTGAATTAACAGCAATTTATTGTAAATGAATATGTTTGAAAATTACTATGAGTTGAATAGAGATATTTAATTAAAGTACACACTGGATAAACGCCGCCTTGTGAACTGGCAGGGGAGATGCAAGTGGATCTGGAACCCGCACTTGCTCCTTCTCCTTCAGTTTCTGCAATTCCTAATGTATCATGGCCTTCTTTCTCTTCTGCTGGTGGTGTTAACTGACGTTCACCTGTAAAACAGAAGTAGAATTTTTGGGACTTCTTAAATATAGCTTACATCATGACAATTTATTTTATTCTTGTTCAATCATAATTGATTATTAAATATCAATAATAATTGGTTAGTCTCTTATTGATAATTAGTATTCCAAAACAATTTTCTTTACCATGTAGAGATCAATGAGATTTTGCTTAATTTTTATTTATATAACATTTTCAACTAATTACACCTCTTCAATATCTTCATTTTTAAGAAATTTTGTGTCTACATGTGTGTTTTAGTATTAATAAGCTTTACATGATGAATTAGTTGTTGTATACTATATAATGTATATAACAGATGGTTGAATTAAAAATTCCAAACATATGCAATATATTAATAGAACTTCAAAACATAATTGTGTTCTCATGCTATAATTTTCAACATCAAAATGAACATTTAAGTACATTAAGAATATTTTAAACCACTCATAAAAAGGCAAATTTTTAAAAGGGAAAATTCAAAAGTTTCTCACAGTGAATGTGATCATGAAAATAAGGTATTACATGAATTTATTTTCATACATTCAGCTATTTTCATAAATTACTATTAACAATACTTTCTAATGGATGAAAATGTTTCTGGAAATACAAGTTTCCTTACCAATATTATCTTCTGTACAAGGTTCTGATTGATGACCACTATCAACAGATGGGTTTGTGGTAACAATAACTGTAGATAGCGCTTCTGAACTTTCGCTTGATTCTAAAAGAAACACAACAATTGTTCAGTATATTAAACATCAATATTGAAAATGTATTAACAGAAAATAAATAAAATTTTTATTAAGTAACATACTACTCTGGCCTCGAGTTTTAGCACTTGAATCATCAAAATTTTGACTAGTCGGACTATCAGTAACTGCATCTTCAACAACACCTTCATCTGGAGAAGTCGATCTTTTGTTCTGCAAAATGAGACCAAGCTAAACTTCCATAATGCATATTATTATACTACTTTTAATATGATTTAAAATTCTATGATATTTTGTTTAAAAATACCTTATCCAAATGGCTGTGTCCGTTGATGGTAGGTGTTGACTTTGGATGTGATCCTCTGATGACAGGCTGACCTCCACTTTGTGCAGAACTCGCAGATACACCTATGCAGGAGAAACCAGAGTGAAATATCCTTTTAGGTAATTAAGAACAGTTTTGGAAGAGTGTTGAAGAGGGATGAAGGGTTCTAGTGAAGAGAGCGTTGGAGGGTGATGGAGGCGAATGGAGAGTTATGGAGGATTGTGAAGTGTGTTGAAGAGGGATGGTATATTCTAGTGTGGAGAGCAGGAGAGTGCAATGGAGATGACGGGTGATGGAGGCGGATGCAGAGCTATAGAGGATGACATTGTGATGAGTGTCGGAGAAGGATGGAAAATCCTTGTGTAGAGAGCAATGGAGGGCAATGGAGGATGACGGGCGATGGAGGATGATATTGTGAAGAGTGTTGGGTTTGATGGAGGATGGAGGGTGTGGCAGGTGGCGGAGAGTGCTTACTGCGTGCGGGGCTGAGGGCGCCGCTTTCCTCGCGGTGGTTGCGCAGGTTCTGCAGCTCCTCTTCACGGCTCATGCTGTCCACGGAGTTGGGCGGGCCGCGCGGTCGCTCGCGGCCCTCCTCGCCCTCCACCACGTCTTCGTCCGACAGCGAGCTCAGGTTGTCCTCGAACACCTGTGGGCAAACGAAGGACGTTGTAACGCAGGCATCCTTGGAGGTCGCTGGATTGATTATTGTGTGTTTCCGAGCGTGTCAATGGCTATAGTCAATCGTTTCGTAAGTGTAGTGCACGGTCTTTATCAAGGAAGGTGGTGGTGGGCTCTCCCACCTAAGATCCCGCGCTGACCCAGATAGAGGCTTGCGGGTTTTCCCCCATCCAGGTTTCTCCCACCAACGGTGCACCATCCCACAAGGTCCGGGACGAGCTTTAAGCTCACGACGTGTATGGTGGTGCAGTGCATGATAATTTAAGTGTGAATAATAAGAAAAGGGTTACGATTGGAAAATGATGAAGAAGGAATGATCGCGCGTGGACTGAGGCATGATTAGTACTGTTTGTGATCTGGTGTTGATCGAAGAAACCACTCAAAAGAACCGACCAGAGCAGCCGGCCGCTAGAATTTTCCTCCAGACTATCTGTATTCGACCTAGCTAAGTAGCTAGTATCTGCCACTGCACTGTAGGGACTCGGTAAGAGACACTGCAGTGATATCAGTTGGATGCCCTGAGCCACCTAAGCCTGTCGGAAGTTGCTATTAGCTGCCAAAGAGCAAACGTTCTGATCGATTTTGATCTCGAGGCTAGCACGGATGTGCTGCGGAGAAAATGATCTTGAGGCCGCACCTTGTCTTTTGCGGCGTAGGGGAACCTTCTCTCATTCCACACTCTGAGCGTAGCATCGCATGGCGATATCAGCCAACCAATGTCCTACTACAGGCACGCAATGAATGTGTCACTATCGTGGTCGAACAGCACACCCAATACCGAACTCTTGGTGATATCTCTTTGAACGACGGAAGGGAAGTTCCCAGTCACAGCCGTTGAATAAGGGGGTGGATATACTAGTATGAAAATAGCGTCAGCGAGAATAATCTTTTGTTTTACTATTATCCACTTTGGTTTGGTAAAGTTAACGTTATGACATTATATCCAGTTTTGTAATGAAGTACTTTTCCGACAATACTATGGAAAAGTAGTGACGAGTACAACTAAACAGTTTTGTATGTCTTCTTTTGAAAATATTTTAAGCCTCTTTGCCCTGTATCATTCATTTTTTCTCTTCAAAAGCGCTAACAAATACTTACGTACTTAACAATTAACTTTCATTGTCACATAATGAAATTGTACTTCTTAACATTGAATAATGTGTCCAAAGATTACTCACTTTTTCTTTCTCAGACTTACCAAAGAAATAAGCCATCATGATTTTTTCCACAATGAAATTAATATGAGTTTTATTCAATTTTTTTCTGAAATTAATGTTTGCGTTGCAGCATTTGCTGCTATTTCGATATCTGAATCGCAGCTGTCATTCATTTCGAAAACAATACAGTGTTGAAGTTTTCTCCTTGTTGAGAACAATGTCAGCATTAACAGAAAAGAAATCGTGAAGTTTAAAGAAACGCTTGGTATGAAATTTCTGACTAAAATAATTTTTGCAAAGTGAATAAAAAGTTTTGTAGCATATTATTACAATACTCAACGGGATACCAATCTTGGCTGAATAAGAGACTCGTTTGTCTATTTGTTATAAAATGCCTTACGCCTCTTCGTAAATAACAATTATTATTCTTAGCAACGGGCTACACATAAAAGTTGATCGTGTGAGAGTGAATGAACGGCACACAGTGGCCGGGAGGGATAGCGGGCCTGAGCGGGCTATCGCGTGTGATCTGAGGAGGCGTTGGTTACTGCATTTGCGGCTGTTGCTTGTGGAAATCCGAGTTGTGAAATCCTATATCAATGCGCTATCAAACTCCGCACACACGTGTGGTGGCAAATTGAAGTTCATGCGCTTCTGGTCTGTCTGTGATGTACTCTTGTTAATTCGTACCTCAGAAGGTATTTCTTCTACAATCATCTGAAGACGAGCAAGATGGGTTGCCTAACATTCAGGCGCAGTTTAATTTTTATAAAGCTTATATTGCGAGAAAATGATCAGTGCGTGATCCTTTGACTTCAATTCACATTGAATAGTGGTGCTAAAACAGCACGTAAGTTCTCATTCGTAATTTCATGCAAAATTTTGCGAGAAGTACTCAAATTTTCGAAATATTGTACATGATTTTATTTCAAAATCTATCTCTTACGAACAGATTTCACTAAGAGAAGAAATCTATATCTTCATAATTATAGTTGTAGGAAAACGACAAAAAATTGAACTTATGCATTTTTCGAAAAACAAGGGTTTCCAACGAACTTGTGACATGTACCTTTCTCTTAAAAATCTTTCACACTATCCAACAACAAAATTTAATAGAAAACTATAGAGCCATTTTTTATCCACTTTTTCTGTATGGGGGCCCTGTAATAAGAGTTTTTTTGCCGAAAATTTGCCGTTCTGCAGGGAGGGATGGGAAAGTGATGGGATGGTACGTAAAGAAAAAGGAGAGGAGGGATACAGAGGTTTTGGAAACGGGAGCGTACGGCGATGCTGAATCGGGGAAGTGAGAAAAGGGATGGGATAGGATCAGAGAAGGGAGAGGAGAAAAGACAGGTATGTGAGCGCACGTCGTTGCTAGATACTATAGATAGTAAAAAGAGACAATAACAAAGGCAGGATGAGAGGAAAGAAAGAGTCTGAAGGCGCGCTGTGTATGTAGCCGTTGAGAGGTAGCTTCACCCCAGGAGGAAAGGGGGGGGGGCTTGGGAAGGGTTGAGAAGAAATGAGAAGGGAGGAGAGGAGAAAAACGTGAACACACGTCGCTGCAGAGTTTTTTCGCAGAAGCGCGGGAGGGGAGGTGCGAGAGAAATCGCAAATTGAAAGTAAGCGGCGAAAGGGAAGCCCAAGAGCCTGCGTCGTTGCTGAGGTCGGGCTGCAGCGCAGGAGTGGTTGGATGAGAAGGAAGGAAGGATAAGTTGGGGAAGGGTAAGCAGATGTAAGTAAGATGGCGTAACGAGAGGTCGCAAACGTATTTCGTTATTGAGATTTTACGCTGGAGGGACCGGTGGACAGGGACGAAAGGAAGTGGGAAGTGATAGAAAGGGAAGAAGAGATATAGGAAAACGGGGAGAATGAAATAGGGCTTGCGGGGGCATGTTGAACCTAGCAGCTGCCCTAGAGGGGTGCCAAGGGATGAGGGGAAATATGAATGGAATGGGAGAGACAATAGGGAAGCATCTGAGAGTAAGTCAATGCTGACGTCGTTCTACAGCGCGAAAGAGAAAAGATGGGATAGGAAGATATGCTGGGAAAATGCGAGAGACGCAGGGACTACGGAGGCACGATCGCACGTCATTGAGATTTTGCTGTAGCGCGGGAAGAGGGTTGGGGGGTGGGGTTGGGAGGAAGTAATAAGGACGAGGTGATGATAGATAGGTAGGGGTTGCAGGAATGTGAATTGTGCTCAGAAACTATCCTAAAGAGGCGGGAAGGGCTGGCATAAAATGAGAAGGGAAGAGAAGAGACGAGAGGGTAGCACGTGAGTGTTGAGATTTTACGTGTACGTCGTGTTTTGATTAACAGCAGCATCGGAGAGGACGAGAGGGAAGGCTCGATAGGAAACGAGAGTGAAAAGTAAGGGACAAGAGGGTAACACGAAAAGTATGTAGTTGCTGAGATTTTACTGCAGCGTGATAGACGATGGATTGGAAGGTTCGATAAGAAACGATAATGAAAAAATAAGGGTCAAGAGGGAAGCATGGCAGAGCATCCATCGTTGCTGAGATTTTACTGCGGCATGGGAATGGACTGATGGGAAGGTAAAAGGGAAAACAAAAATGGAATGTGTGGGTGAAGGGGGAAGCACGGGAGAGCGCAGGTCGTTGCAGCATGGGTCCGAGAGGGCAGCACGTACGTCGTTGCTGAGATCCTGCTGCAGCGCGGGCGTGGGCGGGACGTCGCCGGAGGTGCTCTCGGAGCTGAGCTTGGCCAGGTTGGCAGCCATGGCCTCCTTGTCGCGCTGCCGCACGATGGCCTCCACGGCCAGCCACTCGCTCATGGTGGTCTCGTAGCCCTGGTGCGTCTCGCGGTCCAGCGCCTGCCGCTCCTCAGGGGTGCTGCCGAACTGGTAGTGGCCCAGCAGGTACGGCCACGCCTGCAAACACATCGACGCGGACATAGTTTGTGGCTCGTATAACAACGAGACAAAGTTACCAGCGAGAGAAAATTCATTTAATGGTTTTTGGGTGCTTGCAATTACACTGATGTTATCACTTGGATCAACAATTCCAAAATGCCCTTTTTTTTCCAAATATATTATTGATGATAGTAACATATTTATTAAAGTAAGTTCTTGACTATCGATTTTTAATTTCTGTGTGATGTCGAGGTTTAACGAACGTGACCTACTATGATTAGTGCTACAGCTGCATTTGTTGCCACAGCTGTTAATCGTGAAGGTTCAATGAACTCTCTTTCATTCGTTTTGAAACTACATATGTGTAAATAATTGTACAAACATAACATTGTGGTGACACATATTACTTATATGTTTATCGCGTAGTGTTATTATGGTTTATATCTTTAACTAAAGAAAATGCATTTTTTTGAATTTAAATGCTTATTTTCCCAATTATTTTGATGATTTTACACTTTTTATTTGATTCCATACATTAGTTAATTTTTTAGAAAAATATTCCAGTGTCTATTTTAACAATTAAAATGTATAATTTTAACCAACTAAAATGACAATTATACATATGGGGGAACATACCTTCGTTTTTGAAGGCTCCTAGTGCATTTTTAGTTTAGAAGCGCAGTGAATACACTGACAGAAAATGAAAACAGACCGTCCTAAAGGTCCTTGATGAGAAACACAGTGTTTACGTTGGATGGTGGTAGGAGGTAGACAATACCTCCACTGATGAGATAATAAGTTATTGTCGACTATGAAAATCGTCGAGACCTAATTACCAGTGGCTCGCCAGACAATAGAGTTGTCGAGGATTTCAAACAACAAAGTGTTTGTTGTCGTTGTCACGTTATGTACGCCGTCGTAAAATATCATAATTTGTGTAATTTACGCAATTTATATTAGTTTTGTTTTGTAAAACTAGCGGACCCGGCAATGCTTCGCTATTGGAAAGTATTAAACTACAATTCAAATTCAAAATAAATTTATTCAATGAAAATTAAATACGTATTAACTACACTTTAATATATTAATTACATTTTAACTAAACTTTACTATATTACACTAGACTTTAAAAATCAAATATCCGACTAATCTTGTGCACCATCAGAACTGGGTTCAAACTGCCTGCTTTCTAGGTCACAACTTCGATGTAATCCGATATTTTGAGTCGAAGAGAGTCGTGTAGTTAAATAAGATAGACTCAGGGACGACGTTGTCGATTAAATTTGCAAAAACAACGCCCCCGCATACTCAATTTCATTCAAACCACTCTTTAAATACTCCCTATACTAATAAAAACAAAGTGTAAAAATTTCAGCAAAATCAGTCGAGTAGGTTTTGCGTCTATGCGCGACATACATACATACAATCCCTTTTATTTTATATTGATGATGCAAGTTTGACTGAGTTGCGCGTTGAATGCTTGCAAGACGTCACTTAGCTGTCCCTGACACTATTATGCCATACATTAGACGTGAAAAATTGCACCGCTTTTGTAGACGTTGGTAAAGTTTGTTTATTCACACCGGTCTTTTACCAATCATCAGCCTCCTTCTTACTATTCAATAACAGCTCCAACGGAAGCTTAGGAGACAAGCCAGCCTCCTAGCCATGGTAATTTACCGAATCAAAATATTTCATTTGCAAGAGTTCTATAAATATGCTTCAAAAGTATTCATATTTACTGAATTTATTATAATAATGTGTTACAATGTTAATGTCAAAAATAATTTGTTAACATGACAAAAAAAATTTAAAATTGAAAATTTTGAACGTTGACGCCGAATATAATTGCAATTTATTACCTGCGAAACAAAGAATGATACATTATTACAATACTTTAAACAAGTAAACATTCCTCAGCTATTGATTTCCATTGGTGTTAATATACATAAGGTTTAACAGAAATTTTGAATTATTAATAATCCTGATCAGTAGTAAATCCTTGCGTATCATGGACGCCAACCCGCTGAGAGACGTGTGTCGGAATTAATGAACGGATGGGTTGTCTGACAGTTACATTTTCGTGCAATGTAATGTTTCCGGGAACCTTAACTGCCATGGTGATTCCTCCCCCGATAAATGGTGATATCTGGATCCGACCTACACGTAGTTATGCAGCTAATGTTGAAAATCCGACACCAAGAAAACCCGTATAGAGACAGCGACAACTCTGAGGGCGTAGGCTTCCGCGACCGGAGTCAGTAGCCCCTTGTCTGTGAAGAAGACCTCGCGTCCGAAGCAGAGGTGCGAACGTTTCGGCAGCCATTCTGCTACCTCTCTCAGGACGAAATGCATTTCGCCTTAGGGAAAGACGCAGATTGATGGCCGAAACGTTGGCACCTCTTCCTAGGACGCGGCGCTTCACAGACTGCCCAGAAGCTACAGCGCACATGGGCTAAACTGAGCTGATAGTTTTCTTATGATTAACCCTGAAGTAGAGAGCGGATTTTGCTGAACTACAACATCGCCGAAAATGATAAATAAAATGCCCTTAAAGGAAAAAAAATGACAAAAAAGAAGAATAAATTGGTCAGGTCAGATGAACAACTCAAGCTGTTGGGTATATTACCGATATAATCGAGGCTTCTTCCTTTCGTTCAAGGGAACTCACCTTGCAAACGTTTGGTTTGGAGTGTTCTTTACCAGAAAATCTATCATTAGTTATCGCGAAATTCGTCGAACCGACATTGGCGCTGATAAGCGTCTCATGAACCATAGATTACATACAGTCCCTTTACAATTTCTTAGTGGCATTACAATTTCTTAGTGAAGAAATAGAATATAATAGACTCATAAATTCTGTAAAGACCACTTGTGTCATCTCGTTAATATTTCTTGTAACAAGTTCCATTAAAACGATAATAAAATTGATAAAACAAACGAAAAATGATCTAAAATGAAGGAAAGTGAAACAAATGACGTAATAGTTGAAATACCAAAACTGTCATATAAAAATGGATAATTTGCTTTTGTCGTAAATTAATATCGTAACAAAATTAATGTCTATGCTAAAAGGCATTGTTCTGAAGTGAAAAGAAAAAAAAAAGACATTTGATTGAAATCCGCCCGCTAGTTACGAGCGAGGGCGTGCGTACCTCCTTGCGGATGTCGGGCGCGACGCCGCCGAAGTAGGCGAGCCGGAAGACCTCGTGGGCGTCGGTGACGCGACCGCCGCCCTCCTGGTGCATGCGCTGCCAGCGCTCGGCCGACAGCCCCTGCGACGCGTCGGCAAGCGCCAGCCCCTGCGACGCCACGATCGCCTCGTGCACCAGCCCGGCCAGGTGCGTGCGCACCGTGCGCAGGTGCCGGCAGTACGCCAGCCAGCCGTAGAAGGCGCGCGAGATGATCTGCCGGCGCATCGTGCGGCACACCTCCTGCAGCGGGTCCCTGCGCACGCGCACGCGCACGCACATGATCGACTCTTGGTCGAATGGAACAGCCGTCACTGGAAGATTCACTTCATTTATTATCTGAATTCAGCCTATCGGCTCTACAGATGGTTGAATTGAATCGAATGGAACAGCCGTCACTGGAAGATTCATTTTAATAATGATCTGAATACACATCGATCGGCCTATCGGCTCTACATATGGTTGAATTGAAACGAATGGAACTGCCATCATTGGAAGATTCATTTCATTTATTATCTGAATACACATCGATCGGCCTATCGGCTCTACAGATGGTTGAATTGAATCGAATGGAATAGCCACTGGAAGATTCATTTCAATAATGATCTGAATACACATCGATCGGCCTTTCGGCTCTACAGATGGTTGAATTGAATCGAATGGGACAGCCGTCACTGGAAGATTCATTTCAATAATGATCTGAATACACATTGAACTGCCTTTCGGCTCTACAGATGGTTGAACTGAATCGAATGGATAGCCATTACTGGAAGATTCATTTCATTTATTATCTGAATACACATCGATCGGCCTTTCGGCTCTACAGATGGTTGAATTGAATCGAATGGAACAGCCGTCACTGGAAGATTCATTTCTTTTATTATCTGAATACACATCGATCAGCCTTTCGGCTCTACAGATGGTTGAGTTGAATTAAATTGATGCTTTATTTTAAGTGGCGAGTCTCAGGTCTTGAGGCCTGCTCTTCCGTCTGACCACGCCAACTTCGCTCCCGTCATTTCAGCAACTAGATGAGAAATGAGGTATTTCTTGGGCGACAAAACAGGCGATTTGAATATAGCTCTGAGGTGTCATTTAGGCTTGATGATATATTACATGCAATAAATCTACTAACATGGGGCAGTCGGCTCTACTTCCAAAGGAAGGCGTTCGAAGGATTTTATCACCCCTAAAAATGCACTGCTTCGATCAGGTTTGAACCCGCGAACTTGGATGTAACAGTCATATACGTGATTATAAACCAGGACGTTATTATACATTGTATACGTCCGAACCATTGCACCATCGCCGCCACGATGTCTTATTCTAAGCATAACTAGAGAACCAAACACGGTTTCTCGACATGTTTTCCCTGTGCAAAAGAGGCTAATTTTTTCATACTAACTAATAGAGTGCGAAACATTAGGACGCGTGCGCGAAACATCGCGAAGCGTGTGTGAAACATGTTGGCGTGTTAAAAAATAGAGTATAGGCAACACATGAGCGAACCTTTCTGGTATTATTCTATCGTAATAATTGATTGTCAGTGTAATGAAGGTGAAAATGTTAATGTATTATGTATTATAAACCGAAATAATGTTAATGAAAAAAATTTAAAAAATGAAAGCCGAATGACACTAAGTATTTCTAACATTATAGACTGTGTCCTGTAAAATGAATAAATAAATAAAATAAATCGAGTTCTTCCTCACACGTGCTTATGCAATTTTGTAGAACTTTGGTGAGTGTAAGAAATACTCTTTTCAAATAGGTATTTCATAACCATGTACATTACCACGCAAATAATCGATATCGCGAGTTTCTTTGAAACATATTTTGAACGCAATACTCACGTGATACCTAATACCCACTTGATACTTCACATCTTCCGGAAGTGACAACAACTTTTTCATGAGTCTATCCGTCACTGAAAACCGATAACTCCTAAACCAATTTCATTAATGTTTAAATTTACCTTGTATGTTCTTAACGAATGTGACAGATATTAAATATTTACCTTATCCTATAAGGCCTGAAAGCTTTTAAGCCAGTGCAATCTAAATTTATAAGTAATCGACCTCTGATATTCAGCCCTGAATGTCTCTCTATTATACCAATGCCGAGGAAATGGAGCAAGGGCAACAAATATTGCCCAAAAAAGGCGAGGAAAACTCCTGAAAGACTCTCCATTACATTTATATACGTTAAACGTTGCATTCGAACGTATTCACTACTATTCTAAAAAGTGGGGAGGAAACTTGATTATTTTTATTAATTTGGAAGAAAATACAAAAGGCGGCGAACCCTGGGTATGTTTTATGTAATTTCTCTTAATAGAGAGTTTTATCGAATAATTTGAAACTCAGATCTTGCACACAGACGTGGAGCGAAATTAAATATTCAATTTTGTTAATGGAAAATCCAGTTACAAACAAAAACGAGTTAATTAAGAGAGCAACATGGAAAATTAATTGAGAAATGGAAATATCACTTTCGTCGAATTTAAAAGGGTATTTTTATGCCTCGATTGAATGTTGCCTAAATATCAATTTGTTTTTTTAACTTCCCTTCAAACACTTTATTAGATTAATTTAATATTTGTTTGCTTGTATGTGTCAATGGACTGATTCATTATCCATCATTGATCACCTACAAATTACAGGATGCCCACGTGCATGAAAAAAATGTTATTTGTTTCTCACGATTTCAGCTGAATCTTACGATTTTCTTCCCTACAATGCTTTTTCAATTTATTGTTGTTGTATGCCATGATATAGCTAAAATCTAATTATTTTCATTAAACACCTAATTCATTGTGTTCAGAACATTTTCTTGAGTACTAAATGTTCAAAAAATTAACTTCTTTAGGAATGATCCAGAGGAAAATAAAACTTTTTAAAACAAAATCGCCTGTATTTAAACAATTTTTTAAAACGTCATTTACGTTCATTCGAATTCGAGCTGGCGGATATTGATAACAATAATACCACTAAATGCGATTCACGCTTTTGTTGTATATTTTTATTCGTTTTTCCAGAGCCTTTATCCAACAGTCAGCCGGGTATCCTCTACGTGCAGAGGAGTCTCACATTCGGCCAAACACTCTAGACATTAACACACTTTCCGGTCTCCTTTTATCTGGCAGAAAGTGATGAACTCCTCTATAACCCATACATGAGAGACAAGGGACAAACAGCCCAAGGCGGATCTCGAACCCCCGAGCCTTCAGACCGAAGTGCTGTGTCAGTACACGCTCTTAAGGCAGCTCCACCCATTCGACATTCGTCTTGAAGCGAAATACTGCTCGCCCAATCAGGAACGGCTGATGTTTTCTTTGAATTTTCGCTTATTTTGATGAGTCCAAAAGCCCGACACGCTGTGGGTAAGGCGACACCGAATGCTCGTGACACGGCAAATAGTAAGGACACATCCACACTACGCGGGATTCGGCGAGCGGTCGCTCGCTACTCGCCGAATAACGAATGTGCGGAGCCGCCTTTAACCACCTCGGCCATCCAGGTCGGAGATGTTGTTTAATAAGAAGCGCAATTGGCGTAGGGAGGTAGCGACCCCATCGCCCTGCACCCCTTTCCGATGGGTGGGGAATGCAGCAATCAGCTCGGTTTCTCCTACCTATAAAGGAGCAGCTGTCCACTGACCTTACCCACAGTATTATCCTCGAATGGTGTAACGGTTAGCGTATCGGACTGTTATACCCATGTTTGAGGGTTAAACCCAATCAAAACTGATTTTTAAGGTCGAGAAAACTCTTCGTACGCCTTTCTTCGGAGGGGAAGTAAAGCCGAATGTCCCATGTTAGTGGATTTACTGCATGTGAAAGATCCTCAATCCTAAATGAAACCTTGGAACTAAGTTCAAATTGCCTGTTTCGTTCCCTGAGTGATATCTTCTTTCTCTGCCAGGGGGTGAAAGAAGCATAGCGAAATTTTCGTGGTCAGACGGAAGATCGGACCAGATGGCCCGAGTCTCGCTACGTAAAATAAGGCATCAATTCAATTCAACCCCAAGAGCCTGTGGGTGGTCTGAAATGCTTAGTAAGCTCTTCCCAGGCTTATTTTTTTAATGAGATAATGGCGAGAATTTTGGTAAAATAACATAATTGCTGTTCAAAAGCTTCGAAGCCAGATATAACACTATCCATCGTAGGATATTCCCAAATAATAATGAAATGTAATGATGATGATGATGATGATGATAATGAGAGTACTTAGCCTGAAGCCGGTGGCTAGAGAAGCATGTGCAAAGGGAGAATCTCGAGAAAATCTGTCGTCAACGATTTTCTCACAAATTTCCGGATGAAATTCTGCCCCCGCGGTGGAAGGCGTGCGCTCTGACCACTACATGGACAACCATATCCGTGATACAATTCTTTCCAACATCTTTTCCCATCCGTATCAGCCAGCGCCCCCACGCCATAGGATGGAGGGGCAGGCAGTGGCGAATGGGCGACGAGCGACCCGCGGTGTAGTGGTCCGCCCGGTCATCCACCGGTAGGTTCGGAAAGGAATTCCCGGTCACTCCTTGTGTCGAAAACCTGCCGAGATCTTGCTTTCCCCACCACACATTTCAGGTTGATCGACCGGGATTTGAATGACGGCACCGAAAAGAAATGTGAGCGGTCATTATAAACGTCTGTTTCTGAATAAAAGTTACAAACTCCTGGGATATGAATGGAGATAGAAGAAGCTTCCTTTTCCCATGAACACGTGGTTGGAAATGTTACCACAAGTTACACATATGTCATTTTATCCTGATTTTTAGGCAACTTCGCATATACTGCTGTACTGAAAGCACACGAAATCTCTTTGACTGCGACAAAACGGTACCTGCCCATCACTAGTTCTGCGGAAGTTGCCTGACAACGAGGGCTAATTTCTCATGCTTAACCTCGTTTTACGCGATTTTATATCATGTTCATTGGTAAAAGATGATCATCTTCTACCATAAAGTCCCAGAAGTTTTTAAAATTTATTTTGAGTCATCAGTAAAGGAAATTTTCATGAGAGTGGTGGTGGCAGGCACGGGCGGGCGGGATCTTTCCACCGTTCATGACGGCGATATGAACACTATAACACGAGCCAGGCTACCTAATGGGCGTGCACAGAAGGAATTTACATGTATGTGTGTGTGTTCTGTCTGGAGGTGCTGAGAGTTTTCACCCATGTATGACGGCGGTCTGACCAGGGCTACGCAATTGTCATGTACAAAGGGCGTTTCTCAGAGAGTGAGAAGTTGCGGAGAGCACTCACCCGTGGATGACG